CAGACAATTTTAATGCCTTTAGAAAGTCCTTTCTCCTTTACCTTCCAATTCATACCATCATGGTTCATAACCGTCTCAGAATTCCTCAGAATCCAGAGCTACATCTTGTTGTTACTTTCAAATCTTGTATGCAATTTTAATGCGTTCAGATGAGTCATTTTATTATTTGCCTTCAAGTCCATAACTTCAAAGCTCTGAGACTTTTGTTAGATTGTTCAAACATACGTGTCACAGAGGTAATTGTGCCTTCCAAGACGTACTTTGCTCGATATTTTCGAATTTATAGTATCGTTCCAGATCGATTCAAAGGGTTCCCTACACTATGCAGGACGTAAAATTCAGGCTTAAAACCGTATCGCTCGGCATCAACAAAGCTTCTAGTCCGGACTTGATTCTTGCCATTGTGTTGAAGAGGTGTGCAGCGTATCTTGCTCCAATTCTTTCTTCGCGTTTCTTCCAGATATCTTACGAATCCGGCACCTTTCCAGAAAATTGGAAATTTTATGTCCAAACTAAAGCAAAAAATGGATCTGAGTCCGACCCTTGCAGCAAGAGGCCTACAGCTCTGCTTTCTGTTATAAGTAAGGTGATGGAGAGGTGCCTAAATCGCGAGCCTCTGGACCACCTTGATTAGCGACTGGGAGTATGGTTTCTGGCACCAGTGATTCGCAGGGGACGTCCTAGCTAACGTCACGGAGTTGTGGAATAAACTCATCCAGTCTTAGGATGAGGCTCATGTCGTTGCTCTTGATATTACGATCAGCTGTGGCACGCTGCCGTCTTATCCAAACTTCCATTTTATGAACTCCCAGAGCTTTGCATATGGGTGGCTGACTTTCTGGCAGCAAGATATCCGTTGTAATTTGACGGGTTCTCCTCTTCCTCCCACAACTTCAACGCGGGTGTTCCCCAGGGATCGATCCAACACTGTTCCTCTCGCAGCGCGATGTGCCTGCAAGACAGACGCGTCTGACTTCCGCCTCCTATCCTAACCGTGTCGAACCTCCTAAATTCAGTACTGGCCGAAAATATCGCTCCTTTGTTCGGAGGGTGTCGAGATTGTGGAACAATCTATCAGAGGAAGCTTTCCCAAATCTTAGGCAGTTCAAAAAATCGGATTAACAAAATTTCTTTGGGAGGTGTCCTGGTATTTATGCTTCTTCTGACTGCGCTGCTGCTTTGGTGTAAAAAAACTATTACTATTTTATCATTATGTACCTACCAATTATACATACACATATCCAAAATGCCCGAAATGCCCCTTCTAAGTATGCACCTGCTGGATGTCTGATTTTTTCTTCCCTGCGTTCTTGAGCCTTCACAAAAAATGCAGAAACCAGTCGTTCTCATTACCCATTGATACTGTGGCTAAATCGAACAGAATCGGTCGCTTGTCCAGCTCTGAAACGGTGAACCACGTTTTTTGCATGGCAAATTAGAATTCCTTAAAAAGTTACAAAACTGGTTCTTCAACATCGACACATTATTCAAAGTTAAAATATACCGTATCTATCTCTCTGCGTGGAAAATATCCGTCAACTTGTTGCTCGTCGGTGCTCGCTTTCAACCGTCTTTCGTATGCCGTTCGTGCGCGATCGGCTAACGTCGCTACGCCTCCAGCCGCCCGACAAAAGTTAGTCTTTTGTGAGAACTTGACGAGTGCGGACACGCTGCGCGAGTTAGTTTCGTTTCAAGGACATTTTTACTGTATCATTTTATTTGGAGCTCCGTGATCGGTGCGGATAAACTTTCTACTCTTAAGTGCTCTATGTGGCTTTGGTAAGTGTCTCCTTCTATGTGGATTACCAGTAGTGTTCGGTGCTTGTGTGAAAGTGCGGATATACCTGCGTCCTATTTTCTAACCATATGCTTGTGTTCGAGTGCAGCTACGTGGGATATACACTTTGACCACGCCATCGAAATCGGATCGGCCATTGTTCGTAGCGGGGCGACTCGTGTAAAAGCGATTAATGCCTATCAATGGACTTTGGATGAGTTCTTTTGTGTGAGTGTGACGCTGGATCAGGTTTTGACTAGGGCTTGGCGTGGCTGACAACTTAAACTGTCTTTATTATACACGTGGGTGGATGAACGACTGTTAATATCGATTGTATGCTCGACGAACGAGCTTGTAGCCGTTATTTTATATCAGGATACACGCAAAATGCTTTTAAGCTATTTATAGCTCTGAATTTTTCCAACTACCTGTCAGGTTTGATAAGCGAACTGTGTCAAAATACCCAGGTCTGTTGAAATAGTGAATAATGAGTACCGCATTAAAATTGCGATAAGCTATGTAAATAAAGGCTCTAAACAAGTACCTGTTGAGATTCTCAAAATGAATGTACAGCGTAGAAAATATCGATAAAAGTGCTCGATAGCGCAATCATATTTGGTGACGTTCAAGGTAGAATTCTGAACGATGATCTTTGAAAGTTTGCCATATCAAGAATCGGGTCAATATAGCGATTCCGTCGAGATTATTATGTTCAAAACAGCATTTTTGTCTAACAAGAGCAATACATTATCGATAAAGGAAGGTCAAACAGGTCACGTAGCTTCGTGTTTTATTAACATATACCCATTGACTCGAGATAAACTTTGAAATAAAAGTAGATAAGAGCGAGTTCAAACAGAAGACAAAGGAGTGCGTAACTTTTTATGAGAACGTATCGTAGCGTGAACGGTTCCATTTTCTATCGACTTTCTCTGTTGCTAAACAGTTTATTCGAAGTCGTTAAATATATCGTTAATTGTCAGTAATTTATGTACTTATTATAATTTTAAATGAGCCCAATAAGGAATAAATGAAGGCGGTGGTAATTATAAGTGCATGTGTGCAGGTTTTTTTAAACCTTTATCGCTGAAATGTCGGGTGTTGATTTAATAAAAGCTGAATTCAGGTCACCCGTGAATAAGTTGGTACGCCGCCATTTTCATCAATCAAACGGGTTTGCGTTTCAAAATTTATTGTGTAACACGCAGTAGTTAGCAGAATCATTGCATATTCATGGCGACTCTCGGAATTTCAAGCCGATTAACGATTTATAACAGATCCGTCCTTTCCTTAGAAGTGATCGATAAATGGATGCACTTTGTGTCAACTTCACAAATTAATAGTGGCAACAACATGAAAATGTATTTAGACTTAATCGGAATTCTGAGCTTTCACAGAAGATAATTTAGATACTAAGTGTCAAATAGGTTATTGTAAAGTTCATAACAGTAGCAGATCTAGGAACATATTTTTATATTCCTATAAATTGAATTATCATGTAACAGTCATCATGCTAGTAGTCTATAAGGTTCAAATAGTATCTATTAGAACATAATTGCTCTGTAGATCCCCCTTTGGATTATCAGGTGTTTATAAGCTTGGATTTCTGAATATTTAGGGTTTTTATTTATATGATGTGATTAGTGTCATGGATTCCCATAGGCATATAGTTTGTAGTTTACCTCTAGTGTCATAAGTTTCATCTTCCTTTCATTTGCAAATTATAAGTCTGAATACTGAAATGTAATGTCCAGATTGTGACGCACCATAGGCACTGCTTTTTCTCGTTTTGCTCATCGCCTGATCTCAAGGTGATCAAAGGTCAAATGCAGATGTTAATTGTTTCAATTTCTCATACAGCTACAGCTATTGTGTTTTTATACAACTTGTGTGTCGGTAGTAAGCTGATTAACTACCTTTTGTTATTATTCATTATTCCGCAACAATAAATTGTTTGGAAAGTTGCGCATGTGTATAAACAAGATGATGCATATTTTATTGTTAATTGTTGATATCCTGGGATCAGTGATTTTTGACCTTGAGTATGGGATGGTGGCTAGAGAAATAAGCATTTCTTTAATAATCTTCTCTAATGTCTGTAAGGAGATTTCAATTAAAACTTTCTATAGGCTTGATCCCTATTTCTAGGAAACTTTTGAATAATAATGATGGATCTTCTTAACTTAAGGATCTACCCAAAAAGGTATTACCTTAAGAGGATCTGAGGTTGGCATAGTTATTTACAAGTGCAGTAAATGGGATATAATTATGAGGTAATTCAATGTAATATGCTGCTTTATCTTGGATAATGGAGTGTAATGACTGAATCATTTCTATGGAAATAAGGTGATTGTTTGTATTTGGAGTTGGATAAGCTTTTTTGAATAGAATGCATGTAAACTTTCATTCTTTGTTTGGCGATTTGCAAATACCCTTAGTAAACACTTGAATGAATATAATACTCTATTACAAATAAATCGATTACAATTAAAATGTTATTTCATAATTCAGTTGCTTTGTCGACTTTGGCTTCGTTCGACCGATAAGGACTAGTCTGATTAAAGTCTACCATGTCGTTTTCTCGGCCTGGGGTCTCTAACACGAACCCTACAAGTATTACAAGTTCCAAGTAATTTACGGTAACTACGCAAATAACTACACACTAATTCCAAGTGAAAGAAATGTGTGATCTATTACAAATGTAGCTACAAATAAAGCAATTCCGATAACAACTTGTCGCAGCATATTTTGGACATATTTTGTGATTTAGGACCGTATTGTGTTGCCATCATATTTATTATGTAAAACGAAAAATGTTCGCAAAACACTGTTTTTGAACGTAAAATGCAATTTTTGAACAAAATTAATGAAACAAGCACACCTTTTTTAACGCGTTTTCTGATCAATTAAAAAAGCAGAACACTTGAATCTTGCTCCTGAATTACTGGCGCCAAATATGTAGCTACAAGTGGTGTTGTGATACTACAGAATTAAGTGTAGAGCAAGTTTATACAGTTGTAGAACTTGTAGCCTTTGTGTTTCAAGGTCCGGATCGATAATTCTGGAAAAATTTCGTTTCCGTCCGGCAACATCGTATCTCGTCGCTCCGTCCGCGTTCTATGTCGGCCGGTAGAGGGCGCCAGGAACCGGTGCCAGCGTGTTCGCGCGTGTCGCTGTGCGTCAGCAGTCACTGACCTCGTCATGCGAGCGAACGGCGCGGCGTTGACGCGGTGCGTGACGCGCGGCAACGCCGTTGCTGCCTCTCCTCGCACCATTGTTATAAATTCGCTCGCCGCTTTGGTGCTGCGTCTGCCGTCCGGGGAATTTCGGGGAACGCGGTCGAGGGTGGATGATGGTGCCGCGATGTTGCCAAGTTGTCGAAAGACGGTTATGAATCATTTTTCTTCGTAGAGGTTTTATAATTGTGCAGATGCGTTTTGTGGAGGCAGTGGAATGGAGTTACGAGAACATGAAGCTTAGTCATAGCGATCATCTGTAATTATTGACGATTTAGTAGCGTAATTCCGAGTAAAGATTTGATTGTAAAGATGTGTGTTTTTTATATGGGGTTCAATTATCCTGGTTCGTGGTTTGAATCAACTGGCAACTTACGTTTTACCTGCGTTATTATAGCCAAGAAAAATGGTTTTACGGTTGTTTATGATTTGGATAATCCTTGCCTCTCAGTCTGCATGACTTTTGCTCTTAGTTGAAGTCTGTCAGCTGTGGTTTAGATAACAGACTGGAGAAAGGGGAGAAGAACGGAAGAAGATGAAGAATTGCATTTGACTTGTTGACTTATTGACGTTGTTAATCACGATTGGGGAATTTTGAATTGCTTGTTTTTAGTTGATATCTTCGGTGTGACAAAATTATCCAGTTTAATTTTGGACACAGAAATCGCGATCTTGTATACTTGCGAACTTGTTCGTCTGTGTAGTCTACTTACCCTCTTGTCAGTGGGTTGCTGCTTGACTGTGACGTTACACCTGGCTAATTGCACAAAAAGCCTTTCATTTGTCGCATCATGTGGCATCAAGGTAATGGGGTGGCAGGCAACGAGGATATGACGATTTTAAATAGGGGTGTACCCGACTGAAAAAAATGTTGTGAAAGTTGGATTGCGTGTGCACGCACTGTACAACTGGATCGATATAATGGGGAACAATACAATAATTGGAATTATCCGGTTTGGGTTATGGCCCAGGCATATATGGATACCTTCTACCCTCTATAAGTTATTAAATGTAACTTGACTTCAATTTTTCGAATATAGGAGGGTTAGAAAGCGGGAAGCCATCCTAAAACCAATCATACTTCCCCATTATGAGGGAAGGATAATTCATGTCCCCCTAGTAGCCTTCCTTTTCGAGGCCACAGGCAAACATTACGTTTCTAAATACTTATACCATAATATGTATGAACTATCCTTTGAATTAAAATGTTACCTGTATTTTTGCATCTTTTGTTCCATAATGCCAAGGTCATCCTATTTCTAGGGCAGTTGATGATTTAAAAAGTCTATCTGCCTAAAACTTAATTCTTGGCAACGGCTTGGTATTTATTGGCTAGCATTCTCTCGACTCCAACACTTTCCCAGAAAATGTTCGATTGGTTCCACCAAAGCGCCAAAGCTTAGTGGCATGTACTGTGTTAAATTTTGACGATTTTATATTTGAACTTGAATTCTACATGTTAGGCTCTTCATTCTAGATTACCAATAGTCTGTCTAAAAAAAAAACGATGTGTCATGCGGTTTTTCGTCGTTTTATCGTGTCTTTTCACCTTTGGTTAATAAGAAAAAAATGAAGATAACAAATCAAGGTCACACGCAGATAGCCTCAAGCTTCCTGAACATGTCCAGGCTACGTGGAAATCATTGCGAATCGTTTTTTATCTTATCACTTCGATTTTCCTCCAAAAGTTTCCGTTTTTCAGGGTCATACATAGTAAATATTTGGTGGAAAAAACTGGTAAAGCGATGCAGAAATCACATTTAATGATCTTTTTAAATATTCTGGAAAATCTGGGCTACGTGAACTTCACAGACCCAAATAAATAGAACATTTTCCGGGTAAGAACTTCGTATAGGTTCGTTCTCTCTGGAGCTTTATTCCGCTTGACTTCTGTATAGAACGCCATTATGATATTCAATAACACCAAAAATACTCTCAAACCAATCACAGTCAATATATTTGGCCGGACATGCCGCTCGGAAAACAAAGCCATGAATTCATATCGCCATCGTAATTTACGGATCAAAAGCACGAAAAATCCATTTTATGAGTGTTTTGTCCCGTACGTTGAAAACAAGCACAAAAAGGACTGAGCGACTGTGCTGTGCTCTGCTGCTGGGAACAATAGCCAATTTAACCGGGATCGTAACATTTCTCTCCTCCTTTGTTAGTCCTCCATTGCGGGAGAGGAGGGTAGATAGCCAACGCCGTCTAACGACGGATGTAATTATACTGACAGACCCTTACCGACTGTATCCAGGTCATCCCGTCTTCGGGGAAAGCCAAGGATAGAAGGGGAGGGTGAGCATCGAAAATGCCCCGTTATGATAACAGCCTTATGCAAAGCCCTTGAGGTGGTAATATATGGAGCAATAAAAATGGTCGAATGCATCTACAAATAATATATCACAAACGACCAGGCGGAGGACTCTATAAATAGGTTTTCGCAGAGTGCTTTATTCCCTATTCCTATTACGATAAACTTACGCTAACTTTAGTGGTTGAACAAAAATATGACGAGCACACGAATTTATTATTATGTGGGTGATTACTTACTATCTACTAGTTCTGCAGCAGCTCGGTCATCTCGTTCCAAGTGGGAGGTCTGTTGTCGTTTTTTACGGATTGTCAAGATTTTCTCGCTTATTATTGAAATTATCAATTTGTCCTTTCGCAGTCTTAATACGACTTAACGGGAGCAGTCACAGAAACAAATAGTACACTCACTTTTATTTTTAAAATAAAAAGCCTTAATATTGTTGAATTGATCATGGATGCAAAAACATATTGATGCAGCATTCTTGATGACATCTGGAGCGTTCCTCCGTTGCTCCGATTACAACCAATATTTCATCTATCAATTATTTGACACACAAATACTGATGGATCACAGTTAATATTGTGGCATTGGTCAAACTATTATCTGATATTTTCTGCATCTCTAACAGGTTTAGTTTTGTGGTGTAGTTAAAGCTCCAATATGGGTTCATTGAGCTATGAACAGAGTTTTTTGTAACATTTTGGCGACTTTGAAAGATAGGTATTATGTTACTATGACCGAACGAAGTACAATTATATTGTTAATGCACTGAAAATATTCTATATATTTTTTTCTACACATTGTGTCAACTTAGCACACGCCTTTACCACCGGTTATCCTTGGCAGCATTTCGACAAAAATTTACGACATTCGCGGCATTCGCGTTGAGTAAGTTTTATTTTTATCTGCCATTTGTCTCTGTATAAAATATGCAACTGACTTGGCTAAAAACAGATAAGAAATCTGATTAAAACATGAGAACACGTGGGTATATTTTAAATCAGGAGTGTCAACAATCGATAGATGTTAATTATAGAACGATTGCGGTGGCATGCCTGGGTCGATAGCTCGCTTGCCAACAGATAATTAATAGAACCTTGAACTTTGACGTTCTGAGCGGAATAGAATTTTTGTCTCTTTGACTGGTCTACTGGGTAATTCTTATTTTCAAACATCATGCCCATCATAGAGAAAATAAAAAAACTAATAGATATTAGTACCAATAAAGTAATAATTAGTCACAAAGAGAAAAGCAGAAATGCCTGGATTACCAAAGGATTAATAACATCGGCAATAGAAAAAGAAAGACTATATAATGTAATGAAACTAACGCCAACTACAGAGAATACCGACTGTAACAACCAATATAAAAATAATTTTATAGAGCTTGCAAGGCAAACCAAACGAAAACATTACCTAAATAAATTGAATAATAACTTAATGATCCTAAGCGGCTTTGGACAACTATTGATGAGATTACTGGGAAAACAAAATTTAAAGAGTGTGTCACTGAGTTAAATACAACATCGGGAACAGTATTAAAAAATACTCAACAGATATGCGATGAATTTGTACAATTCTTTACTGACATAGACGAAAATTTAGCAAGTAATATACAAGCAAATGTACAAAATACTCAGCCTCCAAAAAGAACTTTGAACTCATTTATTTTGGATAAAGTCGAACAATATGAAGTATACACCACTGTTATGTCCTTAAAAAATCGGAAAAGTCCTGGGTTCGATGGTATTAAAAGCGAGCATTTGAAAATTATAGCCGAGGACATAACAGAACCACTCACTTACCTAATCAACAAATGCTTTGAATCTGGCATATATCCCTCAATTTTAAAAAAAGGTAATATAATACCGATACATAAATCAGGAACAAAAACAGATGTTAACAACTATAGACCAATATCAATAATATCCAGTGTAGCAAAGGTTTTTGAAAAAGTTTTATCTACTAGAATGATTCGATACCTCACAAAATTCAAAATTTTAAGTGAAAATCAATATGGATTTACAGAAGGGAAGGCTACATCGGACGCAATAACTAAAATTGTAAATCAAATATATCAAAATATTGATAACAGAATCCCTTCAATCTGCATTTTTGTTGATTTAAAGAAAGCTTTCGATACAGTTAATCACAAATTATTATTAGAAGCATTGGAGAGAATTGGTTTCAGAGGAAACGCGTACTCACTGATCGAAAGTTATTTGTCAAATCGCCCACAATCTGTGCAGATATCAGGATCATTTAGTAAAGAAATGTATATTAAATGTGGTGTCCCACAAGGAACTGTCTTAGGTCCGCTGTTATTCAATATATATTTAAATGATATTTTCCAAATTAATTGTGTTGGCAAAATAACTAGTTTTGCAGATAATACCCAGTTTAAATGGTTTTATTTTAATAAAATTTTGTATAAGTACTTAATGAAGCATAATAAATAAATGATAAAAATTTCAAAATGATTGCACTGCTGTAAAGCCCTTTGACCTTTAATAATGTGTGGATGCACCCTGATGTGCTACGCATTCTCCAACGCGCCTAGGCATGCTTCTGATCAGGTGGTCAATGTCCTCCTGTGGTATCTCATTCCAGGCAACCACCAACTCCTCTCGAAGTGCTTCTAGAGTCTGAGGAGGACGTTGCAAATTGAGCAATCTCCTACCCATCATATCCCACACGTGCTCAATTGGGGATAAATCGGGAGATCTTGGTGGCCATGGTAACAATGTGACATCATTATGTTGAAAGAAGTCTATTGTGACTCTTGCAACATGTGGTCGGGCATTATCTTGTTGGAAAGTTGGATCTGCCAGGGTGTCAAGATAGGGTAAAAGATGGGGTTCTAGAACTTCGTGGATATAAACGCTGTGCGTTCATGTTACCTCTGATGAAGATTAAAGGTGACCTGGAACCATAAGCTATAGCACCCCAAACCATAACTCCAACAGTGTGATGAACATGTCTTCCAACAAAAAACTGTGGATTCCTCTTTTCACCACGTCGCCTTCTAACCCTGGCACGACCATCGTGCATGCCTAAACTAAATCGAGACTCTTGACTAAAGACAATAATACTGTTCCATTCCTGATCCCAGAGTGACCGTTGTCTGCACCACTCAAGGCGATTACGTCGGTGTTCTCGAGTTAAAGGGAGGACCCAGTGTGGCCGGTATGAAAACAAGCCAAAACTTCTCATTCGTCGGTAAACACTTCGCATGCCAATAGGTCTTCCGTGTTCTGCAAACCATTCATTTGGACAATGGACAATGGACCTTAAGGCCAATAATCTTAGGCGGCGATCTTCACGGTCTATTGTTCTACGGCGGCGTCCAGTGCCCCTTGCTCTTTGCGTACGGCCCTCTCGAAGCCATGCCTGACAACACCTAACCACAGTGTCTACACTTCTTTGCACTCTAACTTTTTGCCCGAAAAGAAAGTCCAGCTTCCCGAAGTCCCACTATACGGCCCCTATCAAACTCACTAAGTTGACGAAATCGTACAGGTCTCCGTACTCTAGGCATCGTAACCGATCGTAAAGGATGTCAACAACCAAAATCCGCCAACGTTGATTCTTTACTGCGGCTGAAATATTCATTTTTAGAGCGTTAGTGAATTAAAAAAAAAAGCAGTATAAAAACCGGAATATCCAACTGATAAGGCTGAAAATTTTTTCACTTGTTATTCACAGTAAGATAAATACATTCACCAACTTTTATTAAAATAAAACCATTTAAACTGGCTGTTCGGATTTATAAGTCACTTAGTATATTTTATGATAACCATTTTCTAATCTATTCCTTAATTTTGGGATCTTAGTATTTCTACGCAAACGTAATTATTGACATGCATGTGCAGAATCAAGTATGAAAGAGAGCCGCCGACTGTGTGTTATTTTTTCCTGGAATCTAATTTGCATGTCGTTTATAAACAGGTCAGTTTACCTCCGCTCGCTGAAAATATTCCGTTGAAAAACATCTCTGGCAGAACGATGTTCGAACTGGTTCTGTGCCCGAACAGGAAACCATGATTTATTTACATGTGTCATTAACATTCTCGAAGTGGTACAAGGCGGTTGCCAGCCGATGATGATAGTCCTGAAATGTGTGCATGATACTTGAGCACATGGGCGTCGCTGTTTTAAGATTCCTAAGAATAGGGATGTAATTTCGTCTTGAACTTACTCGAAAAGCTTACGTATCAGCGTCAGTGACGCCACTTCTGTTTATGGGTGAATATCAGGTATTTGGGTTTTTAGTGGTACCTAAGAAAAATTACTCATTTCAGTTTCATATTCATTACCTCTTAAGATTATACTATTTGTGATGCATCTTTGACAGGACCAGATAGTTTATTGATTTTTAGAGTTTTTACAGCTACCAGGGGAAAATGGGTAATCAGGGGAGTGACACTATATACAGGGTAGTGACAAACTGAGACAAAAGAGTGACAACTTCTCATGTGAATGATCTTAAAGGACACTTTATAAAAGAATATAAATATCAATAGGTAAATAAGTTATTGAAAATAACAAAATCCTACATGTTCTATTAGTCTCTTAAAAAATAACATTTGGATCAACTGAGTGAACCCTGCTCACACAAGAACTAATATAAATAACAACCACTATAGCTGTTTATATCTTGCAACTTAATATAGATAGCAATGTAGGTACCTGAGTAATAATAATAATAGAAATAAAATTATAAAAACTTAAAACAAAAAATTGACATAATACTTATGGTCAGTCTTTGAATCGCAATCAGTGCTTATAAATAAAAATGGTAGCTAGCATAAAATAAAATTAACATAGGTATAACCCGATTGTTTATGAATTCGAGTAGATACTCATTTTTCGAATACAGGTATAGGAGTGTGAATTTATAAAATAATCTATTTCCTCTCATTACTATATTTGGCACCGGCAGTCTTTCTAATACTTTTCCAAATTTATGTCGGAAATGTCACGCAATAGATAGTAATTTAGCATTGCTTGAAAACTCATAAAGCCTATAATTTTCGTTCTTCTCAGAGAGAGCAAAATCAACTCCATATTTACATGAATTACACACAAGCATGTTTCTCTTCTACGAACGTTTGGATATACAATCCAAAAAGGTCTCAAACGTCAAAATGAAGTATAACTTATCGGCACTCCTTTGTTTTTAATGAACCGTTCGTGTAAATGCTTCATCGAGTCTAGTAAAACCCTCTTTTGTTTTTACTTTGTTTTTCGTAATGTAGTAATTTTTTCCTGCGCATAAGCGACTATTGCAGTCTCCTTCAAAAAAAAATTTAATTACGTTCTTTATCTTCTCTCTAGTTTTATTCATTCTTGTTCTCCTTGTCACGTCTATCAAATCTCTCCCACAGTGGGTTATCGTTTCACAGGCTTCATATCAATTTGACTTAAAACATTGTACTTTCTAACAAACCTACAACTCAATACTTTACGTGTCTTCTCATTTTTCTTTTTGGTATGGTTTATATTTTCTTTTAGTTGATTTTGAACTACCTTACTGAATGACAGATGCTTCTTCCACGTTCTCCTGATTACTTGGTTTCGTTTTTTTTTTTTTAGTAATCGGTCTACTTTCGACTTTGGTGACATTTTTAGACTTCTTACGTGATCTAGTTTCCTTTGAAATCTCTTCACCTTGTTTTTTAATCGATCAATTTCGCTTTTTTGTTTTTTGATAAGCTCATTTATCCGTTTCCTCTGTTTTGCTGAGGGTCTATTGGCACCTGAAGCTCTATTGTCCAATATTTGAGGATCGAAGTGTGGATCTTCATGGTCCGAAGGCGGCGGTGACTCTGGATAATTAACAATAGTTTTTTGCCTCACACGATCCCTATATCTTTCAATTTGCTCTCTCCATATCTTTATCATAGCTCGCTGTTCCCTATCTGTCAGATCTTTTATACTTCTAACTTGTACTTTCTCCTTCTTTCTGTGGTACTTCTCTTTTTCTTTTCTTTTAACTCAGCATTCTTGATTGGATCATTTTTAATTCGCTGGTCGCGTGGTCTTTCTACTTGGCGTTTTTTCTCCAATCTTTACTCTCGGGTTTGCTTTTTTATAATTTTGCCATTTTAGCGAGTTATGTTTCTTTTGGTACCTGAAATTAATGAAATAGTGTCTATACCACATTCAACTTCAAGAGCAGGAAGCAGGCCGCTCAGAGCCCTAAACTGGGCCAGGCAACTTCTTAGGTGCAGCCCGCTGATTGATGTAACAGATTGGTATGAACACTGACAATGAGCGTTTGATCACTGAATACGGCCCTAGGCGTCTGGCCGTGTCTGGCCCGGCCCCTCATGCCTGACCTATTTCAGATCTACTGCCTCTTGAAGTTGAATTTGGTATAGTAGCTACACATCTTATACAAAAAGGTGCCTTTGTATTTCCCCTGGGCAGTGTGTATTTCCCCTGACATAAAAAATGCCAGGGGAGTGACGCCAGGGAAGTGACAAAAACGTGCGTAAGCCCCGAAAAAGCAAGATATGTTGATTATTAGATTATTTTAACGTGATTCGTGGCTTTTGTATTCAAAAATCTTAATTTTTTATAAAGTCGCAAACATTTAACTTTTAAATTCACAAAGATATGCTTACCAGGGGAAATGCTTCACTCACTGGCAAAAGGGTATCGGACGACTGTTAGTGGGCTACTGACGCGTCCCTGGTCTTCGTTTTCCAAATTACGATAGTTTCGCACTACCCCTTCTTCATTTGCTACTTGCTGCTCAAGGTAAAGTTGCATAGTTGCCATATTTTGATGAATATATGCAATTTGAATTGCGCCAGGTGAGGGTGACACTGTTCTCAGGAACCACTAATAAACGGGATTTTTTACGCATTTATGTATATTTTTAGTGTGCCTTTTTGCGAAAATATGTTATCAGATGTATTAGGGAATACAAAGAGTATCCGATTATTGTTATACCAGTACATAATATAGAGATTTGTTGATGTTTGAAGTGAAACTTGGGAATGGAACATGCCAGGGGAGTATACATTTTGTTAACTTTCAATCAGATTTTTCCTAAATCTTAATGGTTACCTCAATTGCGCCATATGTTCCAAATAAAGATTGTCATCTTTCACTATTTGAATGGTCTATTTCCGCAATTTGTCCATTGGATTAAGATTTTTTTGCAGGAACATTGAATTCCCCAATAACTGATATTCACCCTTATGACAATATAATTAAGGTTTCCTGGTCAGGTGTTGACAGCTGTGATAAATGTTCTTTAAATTGTTTCCTTTTAAAATGAAAGCAGAAACAAAAATATTGCATAGTCCCTATTCTCCGATAAGGTGTAAGTTTGAGTTCGTAATGGACTATGTTTGAAGATTTATAGTGAACTAGCCGAAACTCTGCGAGCTCTTTTTAAAAAAAAACTCCCCAACTCGATAGCGTTTTCTTTGGTATAAGTATTCCTGATGAAAAGGGCATTCTCTCTGTCAACTTTCTATACCATGCACCATTTGGCAACAGTGGATCCGGACGGCATGCCAGCCGCATTCCACCCTCGTTCATTGTTCGATGAGGGGGCGCCGTTGCACATGAGAGGGGGGAGTCCCTCTTTGTTTGGGGTTGAACCGTCCGTCCTCGTCCGGGTCATTATCATATAAATGTCTGCCTGCAACCGTACACCAAAGGAAAGAGGGGATGCCTTTATTGCTCTCTATGGGGTTCCACATTCCTGGAACCAAATTGATTCCAGTGCATGTCAAATCGATATTTAATATTTTCCTCAGCTGTAACGAGTTTAGGGTTTATTACTGAAGTAATAGACAATCATTTAGTCACACAGGCGATAAGTTACGTTGCGATGTAACCCTGTCTCGCTACTTTGACAGTTGGCAATTAACGCTTGATTCACGTGTCAAATGAGTAAAAATTTCAAACTGTTTGCCATAACACATGGAATAATCACTCCGAACTATTCAAACTAGCCTACGATGCATCATATAATTCGAGTATCGACGACTTTCACTGAAGACTTAGCATGACAAATTATGAAAATGTTGGTAATTATCAATATCGGCAATCATTTACCGTTTCTCGTTGGCCTGAATCCTACATAATAGAATCGTCATGTATCCACCGCCATTTTGAAGTAGATGCAGGCAAATATTTCCTACATGCTTTGGATCTACTAGAAAACCAAGTAAACGAGTGACTTTGTAACCAAGCAAGGTCAGCGAAATTCCTGGTATAACATCGATCAACTATTTACAAGGCAAACAACATTATACAAGGAATGGTCTGGAGTAAATATAAAGCCTTAACAAACGTAAATACGCAGATAATCACTTCAGGGAATTCGAGCCACGCGGCATGTGGCATCATCACGGAAAATGTTCCAAGAATGTTTATGGGTTTGTAATACATCTGCGATAATTAAGAAGGGCGTTTTAACCGTCTCTTATGTAACTGCGATTTTTACTGCCAGATTGAGATTTTAATAAATTACGTAGATACTGCGTACCAGGTAGGTTTATGCCTCCGACACTGCTTCAGAAATGACACGCGTTTTGCTGACCCACGAATCCACTCAAACCTCTTCTCATTGACAGCATAAACAGGGTGGACGGGAAAATAGACTTTTTCTAGTAAACTGAAGCTTTTAAGATGAACGAAAATTTTTTTAACAAAAATCGAACTATTTTGAAGCTTACTGCATGAGATAACGTCAAAGATTGATATTCAAATCAAGTTGGCTACTTTATTTTGAAGGTTCATTTATACCATTTATGTATGAAAAATAATATCGCTCAAATGTTCACCACGACTGGATTTACAGACGTCCACGCGATGGTCGAAATTTTCAATGACATTTTGCAACATGGTCGGTTCTATGGCATTTATCTCGGCAATGATGTTATTTTTGAGTTCTTGGAGGGTGGCTGGTTTGTTGACGTAGACTTTGCTTTTCAAATATCCCCATAAAAAGAAGTCCAAGGGAGTCAAATCGCACGATCTTGGTGGCCATGGCACATTTCCTCTGCGCGAAATCACGCGATCACCGAAGAAGGACTGCAATCGATGGATATTGACGTTGGTTGTGTGGCATGTTGCACCGTCTTGTTGGAAATAAACATCGTCCATATCCATTCATTCAAGTTGCGGCAAAAAATAGTCCTCTATCATCACGTGATATCGCTCAGAATTGACGGTAACGGCGTCCCCGGCCGCATTTTCGAAAAGGTAAGGTCCGATGATGCCTTTTGACCACAATGCACATACACAGTCACTTTTTGAGGATGCATCGGCTGCTCTTGATACTCACGGGGATTTTCGTTCGCCCAGATGCGGCAGTGTTGCTTGTTTACCGTCCCATTCAAAGTGAAATACGCTTCGTCGCTGAACATGATTTTGGATGAAAAATTGGCATCAATTTGGCGGTGTTCAAGGAGCCAATCTGAGAACGTTGGACGCGAAAAATGCTCGGCCCGACGCAGCTCTTGCGTCAATTGGATCTTGTAGGCGTGTACATTCAAATCCTTGTGGAGAATGCGGAGCAAACTGGTCCTCGAAATGCCTAATTCTTGGGATCGACGCGTTGTTCATTGTTTCGGATCGTGTCTCACACTCTTCTTCACAACAGCAATATTTTCCGGTGTGCGAACGCTCCTTGGCCGGCCAGAGCCTGGCAGATTTGCCACAGAACCTGTTGCCTCGAATTTACGCACCAGACAACGGTTGTTTCGTTTGGGCGGTTGTTGCGACCGAAATGTTCTCGAAGCGCGCGAAACGTGCTTTTTATTTTTGCACCATTTTTGTAGTGCTCTTGAATAACTTGAATGCGGTCTTCAATCGAATACGACTCTATAGCGATCAATGGTAAACATTCAACTAACAAAATGACATGTCGGTGACAGAAAACAAAGATGGTGTCTATGTCAAATTGACGTTTACTTTCCTGCGTCCCTATTGGACAACCCTTTATAAATCGAAAACGGCTAATTTTCGGACAGTAGTTCCTATAGTAAAATCGACTCAGATTGGCTTGTACTATCTCCCCCCACCGGCTCCGCATCTATTTTCCCGTAACCCTGTAGAGCAATAATGTAAGCGCATCGGAATGAATGCTCGTCTATCCCAGAAAAAGTTGCTTAACTTTTTCTAGCGAAAGCGCTATAGTGTCAGCGGTAGCGTTAGACGGTGTAGCTTTTGACAGTGTTTTGACAAATGTCATCGAAACATCAAGCTTACCTAACTGATTTGTGCTATTAACCAATGTTTTGATATTTCATCCTAGATACCAAGTATACGTATATTCTGGTTTTCCATGTTTTTCTTCAAATTCAAGAAATATCTTAAACTAACCTATATCTGTACAGCTTTCAAACTTGACAACTCGATATATTCGTGTGTATGCGCCCTATTATGTGCTGAATGGCTGAACCAGCAAAAATCTTGAAACAGTTGCGCTGAATGCGGCGTCAGTCGCTTTCAAAAGCAGCTGAAACGGCGGTGACGTCTAACGCTTGAAATATCGAAATATGGACAGCCGCTTATCGCGCTTCCTTGGAGATAGACGCAAGCAATGACGAAGTAGCAGTGGACAACTTTTACTCATGACTATTGTTGACCGGCAAGCAGCTAAATGCTACGCTGTCACATCTTGTTCTAAAGTAATGCTGACTACAATTTCACGAGTCTGCAACCCCTAAACCAATGTTACCCATCATGATTCGTGATCTAAGATAATCAGTAACTAAATCACAGTCCTTGGAGTATCAACCACAACCAGGTTTAGGCAAATATCAGCAAAAGAGGCTTAGTGCGAATTATGCAATCGGAACTGTCAAATTACGAGTTTTGAGCTCCCGGCCGTGTAAATGGATTAACCTGCTGTGTATCATTGGAACGCCCCT